CTCTGCCACTCTCATGCTTGCTGCCCACTAAAAGGAACTCCCGTCTTAGAACAATGTGGAACAAAACTCAAAATCATTTGGAAAAAAAAATAAAGGGGGACGAGGTTTGCTGGTCTGATAGAATGTGGTGGAAACACTGAGACTATGGCCCCTAGCTCCCTTGCAGGTCTGGAATTGAACTCACACCGGTGGCTTGCAGCCAAGCAAAAGACAGGCATAGGAGTTGAACATTTACCTGAGGTAGATACACTCCTTGGAGAGAATAATCATAGGAGAAAGAAGGTCTGTTTATACACGGGGAGACAGCTCAGGGAGCAGGAATACATGGAGGGATGGACACAGGGAAGAGGTAACTGTCGGGAGGAAGTGGGGGGGGAGCTGTTGGACTGTGGTGAACTGTGGTCAATGTCATCGACAAAATGCATGTGAACTGCTATATGGAAAGTGAATTTGCTCTGTAAATTTTCACCCAAATCACAATTAAAAAAAAAAAAATAGGAACTCCACTCTTATACCACATTGGGGCACAAAAGAGGCAGTACAATGTCTAGATGTTTCAAAGAGGCAAAGTTCATAGTATAATTCCTAAATTAACCAGTTAAATCAGACTTGGGAGGTATGGATGAGGGTTAAAAACTGCTCAAAGAACTATATCAGCAATTTTTCAGGGTAAAGAAAGCATTTAAGATACGTGGTTCATTATAATATCAAGGAGATAATTAGGCTTTTCTTATTTTTTGTCTGGTTTGTTGTCTGATTTTGTTGTTATTGTTGTAGTTGTTGTTTTCAAATACCATTTATTCAGTGCCTATGATCTGCCAGCACCTAGGAATGGCATTTAATTCTCAAAAACCACTACAGTGTAAGTAAGGGTAAGGAAACTGAGGCTCAAAGAGCTCAAAAAGGTCATTAAACTGAAAAGAGGGAGAAAGCTAGGTCTTATTCTGTGCCCAACAAATGGATTCCTGCCATTTGTCTTCACTGAACGTCTAGCATGCAGCTCAAAAAGCATGATTCTGTCCCGACTAACTTACAAGTAGCTTGGCATTCAAAGCCTCCACAATTTAGCCCCAAATTCCTTTTCCAATTTTACACCCTGATATTTCCCTACACACATATCATGCTCCAGCCTCTCACTCCTACAGTTTCTTCCTCAAATGCTTTCCTACAAGATTATATCCAAAAGTTTCCTCTATCCTTAGATGCCCAAAAGTAAAGACTTCAGGACCTGGGTCTGGGGTCAGCTCAGCTGAGGAAGGATGGTGTTACATAAGAAAGTCCATGTGTGTCTGCTTGAGCCCTTGATAAGTTTCTTCAGGTAACACTTCTCTTACCTCCCAAGAAGGTGGGGAACACAGGCAAGGAGTCTTAAGCTTGACACACTGGATCAAAAGCACCGTTGCAATAGAGATCATTCTTCACATACTGAAAAACCCCTCCATTGTAGCCTAAATAGCCTCACTTCACCCAGAGACAGCTTCATTTCAATGGAAATTCCTCTCCTGTGGCTCCCTCCACTGCCAACATACCAAGGCCTAAGGGAGACTTAACATGATTAAAACTTTAAAGCATTAAAGAATCTCAAAGAAAAGGCATCCTTGCAGTGCAAATCATCAATTTAGGAGGAAAGAGCAAATTAAGAGGGGAGGTCTATAAGAATATAAACGCAATGTAATTTTAAATAACATAATACCAAAAAAACAAAAAACCCAAACTCACCGCCATGGAGTTGGATTCCACTCACAGCAACCCCTCCTTGGCTTTCTGAGGTAGTATCACTATGGAGGTAGATTGCCCAGCCTTCCATCTGAGGTGGTTTGAACCTCCAGCCTTCTGGTGAGCAGGCAAATGCCTTAGGTACTATGCCACCAGAGCTCCAAATAATATAATGTATAAATTAATTCAATAAACACAGGCCTTTTCAACCTCAGTATCTAAAGTCCTGAGCAGGAGAGAAGGGTTCAGAGAACTGTTGGCATTCACTCCTGTCTGGTTGATGATATCTGCAATCTGAGTGAGGTGGCTTTCCCAGGTTTGTCAAATCAGGAATAACAGTTCTGTGATGAGTTATTTAACAGGCAGGGCACACAGTGATTAAGTATGAGCTGGGCTGCTGAAGCAGCAGAAATACTAGTCAAGCTTCCACAGACGATCCCCAAAAGGCTACTACAGAAGCTTGGTACCCCTTACAAACCTCAAGATGCAGAAAAATGGACTAAACATGTAGAGGCCTGACTTACACAAATATGAAACAGGTAAAGAAGTGTAACTCCACTTTTATCTAAAAAAACTATGTTGTTGTTGTTATGTGCCGTCAAGTCAGACCCGACTCATAACGACCCCTCCTTGGGTTTCTGAGGCAGTATCACTACGGAAGTAGGTTGCCCCATCTTCCTTCCGCAGAGTGGCTGCTGGGTTTGAACCGCCAGCCTTCTGATTAGCAGTCAAGTGCCTTAGGTACTATGCTACCAGTATTTAAATCCTGCCTTTGCATACATACCACATTATCTTTTTACTTTATAACTTGGATAAACCACTTACTTGTTTTAACGATGGGAATGAACTAAATTTGGATAGATTTTCTAGTCCCCAATTTCAGAGAAGCAATTCAGAAGGAAAGGAAGCTGTCCTTTCCCTACAGATTAGGAAATTCATGACAGCAGGGTTCTATTCACTCCCTCCAGGAATGTCTTAGCGCTTCATCTCTTTATATCAGAGTCCACCACACTAAGTTAATGAGTCTTCTACAGCAATTTCAAAAGCTATTGCATTTACACACACTAAGTTAATGAGTCTTCTACAGCAATTTCAAAAGCTATTGCATTTACACACCTCTTCCTCAACTCACAAATCAAACCATTCCAAGAGGTAGGATTAAATTTTATGGTTCATTGACAGAAAGAATAGAGTATCCCAAATCATTAACCCGTGTATAATTGTTCATTTCCCCCACTTTTTTCTACATGGCCTCTGTACCTCCCTACTGCCACCAGGCCACACTACAAACAGTTCTTGAATTTGTTTTTCAACTAAGAATCACTCTTATGAGGTCAACATGGAAGGCCCCTCAAAAACTATTCACCAGCTAAAGCCTACCAGTGAGGTCCCAGAGAAAGCAGCCACTCCGATGCCAACTCTGCACTGTTTGTTTCTAATCACATATACTAATGCAAGTGGCAAACCAGGAAAGGGAATGACCAAGGCTAGCTAATTTGGGTTTCTTTTGCATGGAAGACAGAAAGGTTCGCCAGATCCCACCAGTGTACCAAACTATCTAGACCTGCCAAGGCATGGTTTGCTGGGAAAGGTTTTGTTTTGTTCTTTAAAAGAAAAAAAACCTAAATATGACCATAATTTTCAATGGGCTGCACTGCTTCAGTAGCTTGCACTGCCTTTTAGCTTTTAAGAATAAGGCAATTTCATATAAATATACAATGGCTTCCCAGCATAAAAAAGGAGGAAAAAAAGAGAGCTATGAGTATGTCAGTTCAGATGCAAACTAGGATAATAATATTCTTAGAAAGACTGTTTTCATTTCTGCCCTTCCAGGTAAAGCAAGCCCATGAAATCTACCAAGATAAACCATTTAATATCTTCAGCTGGGAAGGAAGAAAGGCATGAATGAGTGAGGAAACCAAGCAAGGAAACCTCTTAGGCAGCATAACCTCAGTGTTGACATTTAGGGGTCTGACTGACTTCAGGGCTAAAAGCTGCTAATCGACAATTATTCCCGTTTGGCCTGTTCCAGTACACCATTCCCTTGTCCGAAATGCAAGCACGCTCTGGTCCACACCCTTTAACGCAGAACTTCCTGGGCTTTCTGTGACACGGAAAGTCACAGTTACAGGATTGAGGGTTACGGGACCTGGGGAATGATAACATTGTTTTCAAAGCCGATTAGCCATTAAAAATCAACAAGCAAAACCAGCACAGCAGTCCACGAGCCCGGACCCTGACACACCTTCTTTTCTGGTTTCTAGGCGCTCCGTTTCTTCCCAACCCCGGGGCTGCTAAGAAGAGTAGAATAGTCCACACGATTCCCACGGCCCAAACACGTGGTCCTTAAAGCTTTCTTAAAAAACATCCGAAGAAAGACCTATGCTCCGCGTAGCGAGAGGAAATGGGGCTGTGAAAGGGATGCACCGGGGGAATAAGCGGCCAGCGGCTCGATGGAGCCCTGGGCGCCAAGTTAGCAGAGGGTAACGCCGAAGCTACAGAAGGAAAGAGAGGCCGCCCCTGGCGGAGGAGAAATGTCGGTGACAGGCCTCGCTCGGGAACAGGGGCGCTATGGCTCTCTGCTAACAAGCCGGGGTGTCCGTTTTACTTGGCATCAGCTGGGATGTCCCGCCCAAGAGGAAAGGACAAAGGAGGAGGCAGAGACCCAGACCCTTCACTGTGGGAAGGAGGGAAAAAAGAGGGTAAGAATCTGTCGCCACTGGTAAGAACGGCTGAAAAGAAACTTGGGCTGCTGTCTCCAAATCTACATGACACGCTGGAGAGGCAACAGCTTCTTCCTGTCCTCCACCCCTATACGCCCCACCGAGGGGTCGGGGCTCAGGCAGACCGCCAAGATTCAAGTGGATTGTGGAGGGCAGAGTGGAAAAGGACGTCATCCCAGGGACCCAGAAAGAAACCCACCGCCCTACGTCCCTACGCGGTTGCGATATGCCCTCTCGCCCCCTCTGGGAGCCATCTCCTGGCCAAAAGGGACCGAGTGCGCCCCGGACCGTGCAAACTCAGCGTCAGACCCCGCGGCGAGTGCGAAGAGAGGGACGCGGGACTTTAACTAGGGAAAAGTGTGAGGAGCCGGCGGACACCCTACCCGATGCCCCGCAGCCAGCACAGGGGGTCTGCAGGGGCGGAGAGAGAGAGCTAGACGCTCACAGATTCGCGGATAGAAGGCGCGGACAGGCAAGGGCAGCGTCCGGAAGGGGCCTGGAGAGCGCCCCAGCAAGTGCCGAGCCCCCTGACGAGTGCGCGAGGGGCCGGGCCGCACTCACCTTCCTGCCAGTGCCGCCGCCGCCTGCGGCCCCGGCCAACGCGGAGCCGCCCCCCGAGTACATGTAGTAGGCGATGCCCAGTACCCAGAGGAAAGCGAAGCAGAGAAGCATCCGCGAGCGCCGCCGCATTCTCCCGACCACCGCGGTCTCGGCCACCAGCTGCTCTGAGTAGTGCCTGAGCGGCCGCCGGGAGGAAGCGGAGCGAGCAGCAGCGGGAGGGCTGGCGGGCAGGGGCACGGGGCGGGGCGGCGGCGGCTCCTCCTCCGGCTGTTCGGCTTGGCAACCTCAGCTGGCGCAGACACGGCCCGTCCCTCGCGGCGCTAGGCGCAGAGCTCCTCCCCCGGCCGGCGGGCGCTGCGGCCGGAGCAGGAAGCAGCCTGCTTCGGAGGCGGCGAGCCGGGTCAGGGAGCAAAGGGCGACCAATCCGCGGCTGCGGTGGAGGCTGGGGCGGCGGGCCGGGAGGCGGGGACGAGCCGCGTCTCCATGGCAGCAGCACGCCGGGCCTCCGCGGGAGGGCCTCCGCGTTTCTCACCTCCCCGCCCCGCCCCGCCTGCGAGAGTCTCCCCTCCAGCCTCTACTCGCCTGCCTCCCCGCGGTCCGCCTGCCCTATTGCGTGAGTGACAGGTGACTGCCCCGGGACCAAGAGGAACGCGCACAGGGGCCCACACAAGCGTGCGCACAGAGTTGAAGTCGCGTTCACGGTGGCATTGCTGCCTGAGTGCTTCCCTGGCCAAACTGTCACTTCTTGGTCCTCGGTCTTTTGAGTTTTCAGACCTTTAGAAACCTTCCTCTTATTAGCCAAATACTAGGAGCTCTAGTTGCGTAGTGCCTAAGGCATTTGACTGCTAACCAGAAGGCTGGCGGTTCAAACCCATCAGTCACTCCTCTGAGGGAAGACTGAGCAATCTACTAAAAATAGAGATACCGCCTCGGTTGCTGAGTCAGATTCGACTCAGCGGAAGTAAGTTTAGGAGCTCTGGTAGCTTAGTGCCTAGAGCACTTGACTGCTAACCCACCAGCCACTCCTGAGAAGGAAGGTTGGGCAATCTCCTTCCGTTGTTGTTGTTGTTGTTATGTGCCCTCGAGTGGGCCCCGACTCATAGCGACCCCTCCTTGGGTTTCCGAGGCAGTATCACTACGGAAGTAGGATTGCCCAACCTTCCTTCCGAGGAGTGGCTGGTGGGTTTGAACCGCCAGCCGTCTGGTTAGCAGGCAAAGTGTCTTAGCCACTATGCTACCAGAGAACCCACCAGCCACTCCTGAGAAGGAAGGTTGGGCAATCTCCTTCCGTAGTGATGTTGTTATGTGCCGTGAATGACCCGACTCGTAGCGACCCCTCCTTGGGTTTCTAAGGCAGTATCACTACTGAGGGAGCTCTGGTAGCATAGTGGCTAAGGGACTTGACTGCTAACCAGAAGGCTGGTGGTTCAAACCCACCGGCCACTCCTTGGAAGGAAGATGGGGCAATCTACTTCCGTAGTGATACTGCCTCGGAAACCCAAGGAGAGGTCACTATGAGTTGGGTCCGACTCGACGGCACATAACAACAACAACATCACTACGGAAGTAGATTGCCCCATCTTCCTTCCGAGGAGTGGCTGGTGGGTTTGAACCGACAGCCTTCTGGTTAGCAGTCAAATGCCTTAGGCACTATGCCTCGAAAACCCAAGAAGGGGTCGCTATGAGCCGAGTCCCACGCGAGGGCACGTAACAACACATTAGCCAAATGTCCTTAGCTTTTTGTGGTCCAACCATCACCACTACGCCGACTTTTCTTGCCTCTTACAGTCTTCTTCCAGTCTTGCAGCAAAATATTCCTGATATCCATTCGGTAATTTTATTTACTTCTTTATTTATTTTGGGGCAAAAGTGCGACTTTAAGGTAGAAACTGAGAAGGGAATTATCAAAGGAATGTTTTGGGGGAAAGAACAGAGCTCATAAAGGCAGGATTTTTTTTTTTTTTTTTTCCTTAATGAACAGGAAATTAAGAAGAGGTAACTTCAATATATATATAAAACATTCTCTTTCAGCGATTGCTTTCTTTGAAGAAGAAAGAAGAGTTAGCTCAATAAGCATCTTTAAATATGCACTAAAACATCTTTCTATAAGAGAGTCCTTCTAACCTTGGGAATGCTTTGGCACATGCAAAGTTTCCAGTATTGCTAAGAAGGATATAACTGTTACCTAGCACTTGGTATTATGAAAGTGATTTCAGTAGCCTCCCGGTGTAGAAGATAATGGCAGCTGCCTGAATCCAAATACACACACATCCTCAACAACAACAACAACAAAAGCCTTTAGTAGTAGGGAAGAGAATGCCATGCAGTGAACTTCAAACTACCGCACTTAAGTTGTTAGGTACCATTGAGTGGGCTCCGACTCATAGCAACCCAGTGTACAATAGGAAACTGCAGGGTCGTGTGCCATCCTCACAATCCTTTCCCAGTAATATATCAGACAGTGTTTCACTGTTACTCATAAGGTTTTCATTGGCCAATTCTTTGAGAAGCGGATGGCCCTTTCCTTCTTCCAAGTCTGTCTTAATCTGGAAGCTGCGCTGAAACCTGTCCACCATGGGTGTCTGTTCTGGTTACCTAGTGCTGCTCTGTCAGGAATGTACCACAAATGGGATGCCTTAACAAACAGGAGTTTATTCTCTTACAGGTTGGAGGCTAGAAGTCTGGGTTCAAAGTGCCAGGCTCTAGGGGCTGGGTGAAAGCCCCTCAACCTTGAGCTTTAGCTCTGCCTCTTGCTCCCAGCCTGAGTGAAGCTAGAGGCATCTCTTCATTCAGGCAGCTCCTGGCTGCTGAGGCTAAGAAGCCCAAGGTCAACAAATACAATGGCACAGTCCCGATGTTACCAAACCACACGGCAGGCCATTAATTCAAGTCCATTGTAAGTCCCAGGATTGGCAGAGCATGGCAGGCTGCTGAACAATGACACGGCTACATGCAGGGTCCAAGTGTGCCATAAGCTAGAGATCATTCCCAAAGCTGCTACTTCTGTAGTGATGTTGTTGTTATGTGCTGTCAAGTTGGACCTGACTCATAGCGACCCCTCCTTGGGTTTCCGAGGTAGTACCACTATGGAAGTAGATTGCCCCATCTTCCTTCCAAGAAGTTGCTGATGGGTTTGAACCGCCAGCCTTCTGGTTAGCAGTCAAGTGCCTTAGGCACTACGCTACCAGAGCTCCCTTGGGAACCCAAGGAGAGGTCGCTATGAGTTGGGGCTGACTCGACAGCACATAACAACAACACAATGAAGGGAAAGTCCGATACCAAGAAATAAAAACAACACAGGTCTGGTCACTTGGCTGTTGGAGGGAAGAGGTTTGAAAGGTAGTGAGATAGGGGGCAGCAGCATTGCAGAAGCTTTGCTTCTGGGGGAAGAAATCAAATAAAGGTCATGCCCTTTGCAGGCCTTGAAGTGAAAGGAAAAGAAATAAAAGACCCCTCCCAAACACCCAGCATCATCTATTAAAAACTGTACTTCACTAGACAGATAAAACACTTTTGAATTAATCTGCACAGTGTTCATCCCCTAAAAAACATTCCCTTGAAAATTACCTTGAGAGGTTCTGCCTTAAGGCCCCACATCTGCCCAAAAATAAATTGGGCAGAGAATCCTGCCCCAAGAAAGATTATTACCAGAAAAATCAAATCAACCTCATACAAACCTACTGAGAAAGGAAAATAGAAAATTAATCACAACATTTCTGCTGGAGCAAAAGCAAATCATAACATTTTAGTTGATGAAAATTCTCTGCCCCACCAAAAAAAAAAAAAAAAGAAAAAAAAATGTTAACACCACACATTAAACTGAATGGATTATCATGAAGCAAATATTTGGATATCACACATACACACACAGAGAGAGATACACAGCTAGAATCAAATTCAATGAAAAATGAAAAAACTAAGAATAGGCTTGACAAAAAATAGAAATGCTATAAGGGTTGATGGAATTCAAAAAATAAATTTAAAATAAAGAATAAATTATCTCAGAAACAAAGGATAATTATAATGTGCTCAAGGGAGAATAAATTCCAGTGAAGATGTGTAACAGGATGTTGAATAATGGCAAAAATGTTTTGCCCATAGAACCCTTCAATATTGCAATTCGAGGCCTGAATTTTTTCTTCACTTCTTTCAGCTTGAGAAAAACCAAGCATGTTCTTCCCTTTTGGTTTTCTAACTCCAGGTCTTTGCACGTTTCATTTTAATACTTTATTTTGTCTGCTTAAGTCACCTTTGTAATCTTCTCTTCAACTCTTTTATTTCATCATTTCTTCCATTTGTTTCATTTTTAATTTATTTTTTAATTTTTATTGTGATTTTGGTGAAAGTTTACAGAACAAATTCATTTTCCATACAGCAGTTCACACATATTTTGTCTCATGACATTGACTGCAATTCCCCATAATGTAACAGCTCTCTTCCCAATTCCTCCCATAGTTACCTCTTCCCTGTGTCCTTACCTCCCATGTACTCCTGCCCTCATTTAAGCTGTCTCCCTATGCATACACAGCCTGTCTGTTCTTCCATGATTGATCTCTCCAAAGAATGTATCTACCTGATGTAAATGTTCAGCCCTTATGCCTGTCTATTATTTGGCTGGAAGCCACAAGAGTAAGTTCAATTCCAGACCTGAAGGGTAGCCAGGGAGTATAGTCTCAGGGGTTTCTCCAGGCTCTCTCAGACCAGCAAACCTAGTCTTTTTTATTATTATTATTATTTTTAATGATTTTGAGTTTTGTTCCACATTGTTCTCCCACTCTATCCAGGATCTTCTACACAGATCCCCCTCCAAGTGGATGACAGTGGTAGCCAGGCACCGTCTAGTTCTTCTGGTCTCATGGTCATATAGGCTGAGGATCACATGATGTACCAGTCCCTTAGAATCATTGTTTCCACACATCTTTGGTTTTCTTCATTTTTCTTTGTTCTGGATGAGGAGAAACCTATCATTGCATCTAAGATGGCTGCTTGCAAGCTTTTAAGATCCCAGTCACTACTCACCAAAGTAGGATGCAACAATGTTTTTGTGTAGTATGTTATGTCAATTGAGATTGGTGTCACCTGCAACCATGGTCTCAAGCCCACAGGTCCAACTACAAGCTCCCTCCAGG